CATAGGCTGGCCTTGATGGGCTTGAGGGCCATTGCATAGGCACTGTACAGGAGGGTGGATGGAAACCTCCACCAGTGGACCACTAGGGCTCCCTGACTCCCTCACAGGAGATTCACACAAGCAATACCAGTAAGGCTTGTTTTGATAGGTTATCAGTACAAATTAAAAAAATTCCTCCTGGCTGGGAAAATGATTTGGTGATGGCTGTGTGTTGTGTGATCAGAAATGTATGCAATGATCGAATAGAGGAATAACTAGGGAACATTGTCTTTACTAGAAAAATAAGTGAACCAACCTGTCTCCACAATGGACCAAAAAGTGGGCTAAATGCCCATCGGTGTACATCCCTAATTTGTACACATAGTATATATCCCGTGTTGTACATATCTGTGTACAACAGATTAAGAAAGAAATGTAGGATTCTGGGGGAGGGGCAAGCACCCTCTCACTTCCTATAGACACCGACAGATCTTGAATGTTCTAGAGTGATTAAGAGAGTTATGTAATAAAAAGTTTTGCTTTTTCAAAAAAAAAAGGAAATCTCTTGATCTTGATCATGCCTACATTTATTGCATAATAAAAATGATATATTTCTTTTTTTGAAAAGGAAATGAGACCAAGTAAGTGTGATAGATTGGTCTTCCCCCTTGAATATGAAACATTTTAAAGAGATTTAACTCTTTTTCATTCCTTTATTGACACTTTTGATGTGGACCTTCCAGCTTTCTGCTTTAAAAAAGAAAAGAAACGAAAAGAAAACCCTCTTTCATTTTATTTTAGTGATATGTATCCTCAGCTAAAGCCAAGGCACAGGGCTCACTTTCTCTCCAGCTTATCTGTATAATAGCCCTGTCAGATAGGTTTGAGAGTGACTGTTCAAAGGCCACCCAATTTCTTTGCTCAGTGCAGATTAGAACCTGGATCTCCCACCCCCACCCCCCAATCTTTTTATCAAAGAGTTCCCTCGTTGTTGCAGTCACAGAGTACAATGTGGTGTGGTGGCTAAGAACAGTAACAGCAGACCAGGCATTTCAGCAATACTGTACACAGACCAGCTGGTAACCTTGGTGACTGAAGCTTTATGCCATGCTAGCTGAAGGATCCCGAGAGTTGTAGGTCAGAAAAGTAACTTGTCCAAGCTTTGCTGGTGAGCTTCTTTTTCCCAGCTCTAGCCCTTCCATCCTGAATATGGAGGATAACAGACTTACTTCACAGGGTTGTTGTAAAAATTGTACCTAAATTAATGCACGCAAAGCAATCGGGCTGTCCAAAAGTGTGTGCAAAGTTATACGACTATCGTTATGATTAGCAGGAGTATGGTAATATTATTAATATTGTTACCAATCCTGCTTTAGGAATAGGAAGCAGGATTTAGACACTTTCCATTTTTCCCAGCATTAGAATTTGGCAATTTCATTAAGTACAAGGCATATTAGAATATATTTTTTTAAGGTATCAAACCTGAGTGCTCACTGGAAGGACAGATCCTGAAGCTGAGGCTCCAGTACTTTAGCCATCTCATGAGAAGACTCCCTGGAAAAGACCCTGATGTTAGGAAAGTGTGAAGGCAAGAGGAGAAGAGGACAACAGAGGACGAGATGGTTGGACAGTGTCACCGAAGCGACCAACATGAATTTGGCCCAACTCTGGGAGGCAGTGGAAGACAGGAGGGCTTGGCGTGCTCTGGTCCATGGAGTCATGAAGAGTCGGACACGACTTAAGGACTAAACAACAAAAACAGCAACAAATGTACCACCACCTCCTCCTCCTTTTAATTCCGCTGGCTCATCAGCTATCAATGATAAAATATTTATACTGCTCACCAATTGCAAAATTGTAATGTTAATGGTAAGACAAGAAATTCTGTGTCATGGTTGTACCTCTTCCCAGGTTGTTGTTATTTTTAACCCCAAGAAAACAAAAGACAGCTTGTGGCTACGTCTGCTCCTGCTGTTGTTTTGATCTGTGCCCTGCCCAGACTCCTTCAGCCAGACCCTCGTCTGTCATTGAAGTGCCCATGGCAGGTCGAGGAGAGAAGTCGTGACTGACTTTGGAGCAGCAGGAGTGGGGGAGAAGTGCATCAGGAAATGACTGGGAGATATCAGCCTCTTTCTGTGAGCCTTTGGAGCAGTTCCCATGAGCTTCTGGTGGCCCTCTGTGTGTATCCCAAGGAAGGAGCAGATACAGAAAGAAAAAGCAAGGAGCTTTCAGCATAGCTCATGAGAGGTGCTCAAGCTCTTTTTATGTCTCATTTTTGAAGCCAATTGAACTCACTTTGAGATGAATTTTATGCAACACTTGGAAAACACAGGAAGTGAGTACAAAAGCAGGGACACCAGAGTGAGGTGGCTGTTTCAGATAGCAGATTCTGTGCGAACTAATGGCATGAGACTGGAAGATAAAGCTTTGTGCGCTGTCTGTCCTGCCCTTTCTCCCCAGCCTAACGTGCTGTCTTTGGGCGCAGTGGTTTTTTTAAACTATTATTTTAATTCCATCACTTACTTTTCCACTATTAAATACTGAATTGTCAAACTGTACATGGAATGGGAGGGAGGGCTAGAGCTTGGGAATGACAGCTCCCATCTAGACAGCTGTCATAATGTTCTCCCACTCCCACTTTAAAAAGGCTTTCGGCATCACAATGTGTTAAGAAAAGAGTTGAACAAGAGTAGAACATGGCAATATTGCCTGACTTGTCTCTTGAAACCAATACGGGTTTTTTAACCTACATTTTGCAGAAGTGCAGAACATAACCATTCACCATGGCACACTTCTAAGTAAAGCTTTATGCTTGTTCCACTGATACAGGACAGACCCTCCTGTTAGGCAGAGGGAGGTGACTTACTCAGACTGCATCTGGGTATCATGAAAGGGCAGCAAAATTTGTGTTTACAATTTGGCACAATTCATTGAAAGTTCCTATGAAAGTTAATGCCAGGTTGAATGCAGTTATATCTTTCAGCCAGGGAAGTACAGAAGCAGAGTTTAGAAATCTTACCTTTTTTTGGCTCCCACTATCAGCATTCCTGGCCAAGGTGTCTAGAGGATTCTGAGAAGCAAATTTTCCAAGTTCTGTGCCCTGTGGCCAGTGAGGTCAGGCTTGTTTTAAATCTCAGATTTCCAGTGTTGCATAAATTACCATTGAACATTGCAGGATGACTTTGTTCAGACACTATGGGAAGTTTATCATGTTCTAGCACCTGACACTTTTACTTCTTCAGGAGTCTGGCCAAAACACGCCCATTTCAAAAAGCTCCCCACTGGATTATTTTCTATCTTAAATTGTGTCATTGTGGCTATCCTCTTTGCGACTGACTTTTGTTATGTTACTGTCAGTTTTGACTTTTTCTTCTTTTGTATTAGATATATTCTTATGTTTTAAATGATGGAAGCCATTTCATATTTATTTTGTACAAAGAGAAACAGGGGACAAGTGATTATGGAAATAAATACATAATGAGGTTTCTGACAAAACATTCTATTCACCACCAAGGAGAAAGAAAGCTACAAGGTGGCTGCCCCCATCATTTGCACCCACTCCTAGGGATATGTAATATTGTAATGGCAGGTAATATGGGGAGAACAAAACAGGGGGAAAGATGTCATGGTTGAGTTTTTGAACTTCTGATTTTGAAAGCTGGCAGACTCTCGGCTTAATAGGTCTGTTTTTTGTTCAGAATAAATCATGTGAGGAGTGGCTTGGCAGGGCAGACAGACACTCAAATTAGGGCCTGAATCACCTCTGAGCACTTTGGGCCAAATCCAGTGATTAGTCTCAAGTTGAACAGACCCACTGAATCGATGGGAAAATGGTGAACCATTTATATGTTAGGTTTAGGTCATTGTCAGATCTACAAAATGGGGAAAGATTTGGACTACAACTCTCAGAATCCATTAATTGGCTGTGTTTGCTGCAAAATTGGGGAGTTGTTAAAAAAATCTTTTTCCAATCTTTTATTCCATCTGAATCTTCTTTTTTTTTGGAGGGGCCCAAGCCTTCACAAAAGATTTCTACTGTTCTTGTGTTCAGGGAGTGTGATGAGGAGTTACTTTTTATTGTCGACTGGGCTGCTCGTGAGCACCATGCCATCCCCAGAGTGCAAGGGAATCTAATTCCACCAGGCAGTCTCTTTGGAACAGCCCTGCCCTTTGCCTCAGGTAGCAACATATCTTGGGCTAACCTGAAGATTCTTACAGTTTAAAAACAAGATGTTTTTAAACTTATCCCTGTGACTCTAATGCAAACCCCTTGTTGATCCCTATCCATCCTGGATTTGCTTTTCCATCCTGTGAACACAACGGAGAGCTGAGTCCGAGTCATAATGATTAAAATCATGGTGCTTTACATATCTTGGGCTAACCTGAAGATTCTTACTGTTTAAAAACAAGATCTTTTTAAACATCCCTGTGAATCTAACGCAAACCCCTTGTTGATCCCTATCACCAGTCCTTTTGCTTTTCCATCCTGTGACTACAACTGAGAGCTGAGTTTGAGCGATAATGGTTAAAATCATGGTGCTTTGCTTTTGCATGTCCCTCAGGGTCTGAATATCATAACCCAACTGCCTGAAACACCATCTGCAGACACACCCTCCCAGCCCCGTTCTTACAAGAATGTGCAATAACCAACCACACAGGAAAAGCCCATTCGAATACACTACTGTAGTTCCAGCTTGAAAAAGTAGAAGCTCCCCACCCCACCCCAGCGGCAGACGAAAAAAAGCCACTTTGGGACTGATTCGAATCAGCCTTTGTGTTATGTGGTCAGTAAAAACAACACTTCGAATTGGCTTGTTTTTATGACAAGCAGAACAAATCCTGCAGTATTCGATCATGTAGTTGCAGCCTGTTCTGGTTGAGGATGAGGAGCGATGGGACATCACGGGGGGGGGGGCTTAGAGTCAAGGCTGGCCAGTCAAGCTCCGCCTCCATGGCACAGAAGTAGCGCTGCGGCTCGGGATTGGCCGGCACAGACTGGCAAAAGTCCGTCTGACGGGCAAGTCCCTTGCCTAGTTTTGGAGTCGCTTGTAAGAAAAGCGTGGCGAGATTCCTGCAGTGGCGCTCTCTATGCTTCTTGCGCCGATCCTTCGGGCTATTAGGCGCAGTTGGATCTAAGCCGCGCGCAGCAACGGAGGTGTTTGCATGTCAGCGGATGTCAAGGCACTGAAATCGACGGATTTCCTCTCCGCTGGGCTGGTTCCTCTGGACTGGAGGCTGCTGTTGAGATCGTAGCGGCTGCTGCTGCTGCTGCTGCTGCGAAATGGGGCTTGCAGGGGTCCTGGGGCTGCTGCTCTCGCTGCGGTTTGCGGCGGAACCCTGGCTGGTTGATTCAGGTAAGTGGCTCCTGACTAGGTGGGGTCTGGAGGAGTCTCTGTGGGGCGCGCCCTCGTGGCGCTGGCGAGAAGGGCAGAGATCTCTTTGGTTTCTTCACTCTCAGTTCCTCCCCGCGATCCTTTAGGTTGGAACAGATTCCGCCCAAATCCCCTGCCCACCCACCCCCGACAGACGCGGAAGGGATCATCTCCTTCGAAACGAAATAGGACGGGACTGCAGGGTCGGGTCTGTCCAGCGCCTGGCACACACGGCCGGCGCGGCAAAGCCAGGGCTCCTTGGCCCCCGCTGGCGTCGTTCTATCTTGAGGCGGAGGCGCCGGGGGGGAAAGCTGTGGTCTGAGCCCCAGCATTCAAGATGGGGCGCCCCCTCTTCCCGCTCCGGCCGCCAGCCCTGGGGGCTCATTGAAGCCGGGGCCCTAGCTTCTCGCGAATAACAGAGACCCGAAGAGGCGGGGGACCGCGTACGTAGGACCACAGGGTTGTAGCGAGAGTCCCCTTACCTCTGAGGCTGGGGAGGGGGATAACGAACGACCACGGTGACCCCCAAGAGCTGAGGGGACTCACCCCGGACTAAGATGGCCATGGGGGGGTTGACGTCTCTCCCCCCCCGTGGGGAGGGCGCCTGACGCCTAGTGGCGGGGAGTGACGGCGAAAGC